GAAGGCCTATTTTGCAGTTAGTAAAAGCGTTAGTTTATAAGCCAGCTGAAGACTTGCTTTTGATTTAACTTGCTCAACTTATCACAATCTTCTTAAACTATCCCCATTTTCATTTAGCCCTTTCCTAATCCAAAGGCAGACGGAAAATCCTGAATGGAAGGCTGACTTTTACCCATGATTAGTGTGAGTCAAATCCAGAAATGTACTCCACCCACTGCAGCTCTTGCATATCCCGGTTACCTTCACCCTCTTTCATCTGTTCTTCTCTCTCTTGTGTTTCTTCATTAGCAGCTATCTTAACTTTGTCTTCAGGGGATTTCTCAGTAGCCCCCGGGGCTACCTTGGTCTCAACCCCATCTCCAGCTGCCTCAGACTCTTCTATGGGCAGCTTAGTCTCCTCCTGGCTAGGAACCAACTCTGCCCTGACTTTCTCCTCTAGTCCTGAGCCATCTTTTGTTTCTGTCAGTCCTTCTGCATTAGTCTGTTGTTCAACAGGAGTCTGACCTCCTGCAGCTGACAGTCCATTGACTGTACCATCCTTAGGGAGAACTGTGGCTTCCTGCCCAGGCTTCTCAGAGACTTCTGACCCAGCTTCTGCAGCTGAGGCCTCTGCAGCCTCTATTGTCACCTCTGGTGACTCTTCAGCAGGAGACACTTCTTGCCCTACCAGCTGCTCAAGAACAGCCTTTCCTGGCTCATTTTCAGAGGCAGCTACCTGCTCCTTTGGCTCATGCCCACCCATATCCACTGGCTTGACTGTTGAATCTATAGGCTCTGCTTCTGCCTCCACTGCAGTACTCTGCTTTTCGAGAGTTGTAACAGGCTGCTCTCCTGAAGCTTCTTTTGGCTTCTCCTCTATGCTCACAATTACTTCTCCCTGCTTCTCCTGACCTCCTTTTTCTCTGCATTCTTCTTGGACATCAGTTCCACAAACTGATTTTCCTTCCCCAGCATGTGGTACTTCCTGTTCTGGCTTCCCAGAAGTGACCTTGGCTTCATTCAGTCCTTCTGGTGCTGCTATTTCTTTTGCCTCAGTGGTTTCAGTTAACTGATCTGGAGTGGATTCAACTTTTTCCTGTAGTTCCTCTGCAGGCTCACTTATATCCATGTCTTCTCTTCCACCCTTCTCCATTTCAGTCTCCTGCTCTTTATCAATTTCAGGCTTTACCAGAGACTGGTCTTCTGGTTTTTTTGCTTCTTCTTTTTCTCCCATGGCGTCATAAACCTGTTCTCTCAACTCTTCCCTTGCTTCCTCTACATGGTTAAAGAACATGAAGCATAAACATGTCTTCGAATTTAGTGATCAAGGCATAAATGGAAACTAAAAATACATTCCCTTTAAAACCTCAAACAGCCTGGCTTAAATTTTAGCAGGTGGCCTAAAAATTATCTGTCCCCTTGAGAAAAAGCAAACGGAAAAGTCCCAGATAGCAGAGCAACTTATTGCAAAGGAAACCCAAGCTCCTTAAGTGAGATATTGTTTTACTTGAGCATTCTGATTATGTTAAGAGATGCCAAGCTTTATGCTCTCCTCTAAACATTATAAACCTCCATCTAATATGTAAAACTCTAGTAGCTAAACTCCACTTAGAATTTAACATTTAATTTTCTTAGACACAAAAAATGTAAAAAGACTCCAAAAGCACTGCTATTAAAATAACTGAGCTGCACAGACTTAAGATTTGCATTAAAAAATATTTAAGTTTGTTAGGTATTTAAAATAACAATTTAAATAACCACATTTATTGGGGAAATTAAGTTTTCCTTTTATAAAAGCCTGCTCTCAGTTTCAGTAATTGGCTATCTCCACTGTAGTCTCCACCAGATGCATGTATCACCCCAGACAACTTAGCAGAGACCATCCAGGATAGGGAGAGCCCTAGTCCCATCACTTGTACACAAGAAATATACGTCGCATCACCTGAATGACACAGGCAACTCCACATACCATCTATGTTATCATTATTTTCTACCAGAGATTCGTCTTCTGTTTTTTCTCCTTCCTCCTCTTCCACATGCACACCTTCCAGGGCATTTCCCAACACACCATTCTCCATTCTAGGAGAACAAAAGGAGAAAGCACTAAAGGTATGATAGCTAGAACCTAACAGTTTTTCTAAGACCGAAAAGCAATCAAGTGCAGAGATTATAAACTTTAAGTATTCATGGAAGAAAAGCAGTGATCAAAACTAATATAAATTAAGGCAGTAAGAGCACTGAAAGAAAAAAGCATACCCTTCATCCCACCACTTAAAAAGCACTAATGACTCTTGTCAGAAGGATAAGATCAATATATATTCGCTTTACAATAGGGCGATAATATTTCCCAAGCTTCGCATCCACCCATATTTCTTTAGTTGGCTTTAAAACATTCTGGAAAGACTTTCATGACAAATCAGGATGATCTACAAAATTAGAAAACTTACCAGAACTGAGAGTAAATGAGCAACAAAACATTTGCTAGTTCGTGTACTCTCAAAATATTTTGTTCTCGTTAATAAACTCCAGTGGAAGATACACAACAAGTTTCCAATAGTTAGTTAAGACTACTGGTTTTGGGGCACCTGAGTGGCTCAATCATTAAACATCTCCCTTCAGCTCAGGTGGTGATCCTAGGGTCCTGGGATCAAGCCCTACATTGGGCTCCCTACTCAGCAGGGAGCCTGCTTCTCCCTCTCCCACTCCCCCTGCTTGTGTTCCCTCTCTCACGGTGTCTGTCAAAAAAACCAAAATCTTTAAAAAAAAAAATTTTTTTAAAAAAAAGACCACTGGTTTTATTTACTAGACATTTTCATATGCTACTGTTTACAAACCGTCCTTCATTAAGTCCTTGTTAAGGATGACTGTTTTGTGCCGAGAGTGCTTTTAAAAGTTCTCTCTCTTATATTGGACTTTATGGTCCAAAAATAAATTATGACCATTCACTAACAGAAAAGAACTCTTCTCCTAAAGACCCCAAAAGATGGGGCGCCTGGGTGGCTCAGTCGTTGAGTCTGCCTTCGGCTCAGGTCATGATCCCAGGGTTCTGGGATCGAGCCCTGCATCGGGCTCCCTGCTCAGCGGGAAGCCTGCTTCTCCCTCTCCCACTCTCCCTGCTTGTGTTCCCTCTCTCACTGTGTCTCTCTCTCTCAAATAAATAAATAAAATCTTAAAAAAAAAAAAAGACCCCAAAAGTTAAAAAAGCATAAGTTTAATCTACATCAAGTGCCTTCCAAAACTTCCATCAATATTTCATGTTCCTTCTAAACCCCCCTTCTTAGTAAAAGCAGACTCACCCAGCTCATATGAATCGCAAAGCTAGTAAATAATCTTGGAAAGCAAAGAAACTTATTAAAGTTTTAAATAGACCATTAATGTGATACAAAACACCCTACTTAAAAACAAGTCAGACTGTTGATTTCGGCTCAGGTTATGATCTCAGGGTTGTGAGATGGAGCCCCACATCAGGCTCCAAGCTCAACAGGGAATTTCTGCCGAAGGATTCTCGCCCTCTCCCTCCACCACCCCCCCTCCTCCGCTCGATCTCTCTCAAATAAATAAACCTTTAAAGAAACAAAACAAAAAACAAAACAAAAACCCCTGCGGCTTGAAAGACGTACCTTGCCAACTCCAGAAGTGATTTCCCATAGTAAAAAAAGGCTTCTCCACACTCATTAGCAGTCTCTCCATACTTCTTACCTCTACAAAGAGAATAAACATCTAATAAGACCTGAATTAACATTTAATCAAAAATACTTATTTCTAGTTCTCTGAATTATAAAATGATATTTCTTCAGTGACACATCCTTCTAGGAAACCAATACTCCCCTCTCTTCTTGCTTTCAAGTCAAGTTCAAAGGGACTTTAAAAAACAATGTATGGGGCGCCTGGGTGACTCAGTTAAGGGTCCGACTCTTGATCTCAGCTCAGGTCTTGATCTCAGGGCCGTGAGTTCAAAACCCCACATTGCGGGGTGCCTGGGTGGCTGAGTCGTCTGACTTCGGCTCACGTCATCTCAGGGTCCTGGGATTGAGCCCTATATCAGGTTCTGCGCTCAGCGGGGAATCTGCTTTTCCTCTCCCTCTGCCCCTCCTCCCGCTCCTGCTCCCTCTCTCTCTCTCAAGTAAATAAAATCTTTAAAAACAAACAAGGGGGGGTTCACCTGTGTGGCTCAATCGCTAATGATCCCAGGGTCCTGGGATCGAGCCCCGCATCGGGATCCCTGCTCAGCGGGAAGCCTGCTTCTCCCTCTCCCTCTGCTGCTCCCCCTGCTTGTGTTCCTGCTCTATCTCTGTCAAATAAATAAAATCTTAAAAAAAAAAAAAAAACAAGGGGCGCCTGGGTGGCTCCAGTTAAGTGTCTGCCTTCAGCTCAGGTCATGATCCCAGGGTCCCAGGATCGAGCGCCACACCGCATCGGGCTCTCTGCTCAGCAGGGAGCCTGCTTCTCCCTCTCCCTCTGCCTGCTGCTCTGCCTACTTGTGTGCCCTGTGAAATAAATAAATAAAATCTCTTAAAAACAAACAAACATAGCCCCATGTTGGGCTCCAAGCTGGGCATGAAGCCTACTTTAACTTTAAAAAAAAAAAAAAAAAAGCATGTGGGGCGTGCACCCGCGCACACACACACAATGTATGAAGTTAATATATTACCTGGTCTTTCTCTCTCTCTCTCTCTATATATGTTCTAAGTGATAACAATTTGCTCCAGTTATAGTATATAATCTCAGAGCCAAACTACATTAATAGGTATTTCTCCTGCTATAACATGAATGTCAGTACAGGCCAGAACAGTTAAAGGACCTTTGGCAGGGACCTAAAGGATGAATGAGGTATATATGAGGTATATGGAAAGACATCATGTTATTAGATGTAAGAACTTATTCTCTGGAGTCAGACTGCCTGTGTTCGAATCCCACCTCTAAACCTTAACTAGCTGTATAAACTTTATACTCAGTGCCTTAGGTTTCTCATCTATAAAATAGAAATGTTAAGAACTGTTCAAAGATCTAAGAATTGGGCTCGAGAACCGAGCGGAGCTGGTTGAGCCTTCAAAGTCCTAAAACGCGCGGCCGTGGGTTTGGGGTTTATTGATTGAATTCCGCCGGCGCGGGAGCCTCTGCAGAGAGAGAGCGCGAGAAATGGACATGGACAAACGGATTCATTTAGAGCTGAGGAACAGGACGCCCTCTGATGTGAAAGAGCTCGTCCTGGACAACTGCCGGTCGATCGAAGGCAAAATCGAAGGCCTCACAAGTGAATTTGAGGAACTGGAGTTCTTAAGTACAATCAACGTAGGCCTCACCTCAGTCGCAAACTTACCAAAGTTAAACAAACTTAAGAAGCTTGAACTAAGCGATAACAGAATCTCAGGGGGCCTGGAAGTATTGGCAGAAAAGTGTCCGAACTTCACGCATCTAAATTTAAGTGGCAACAAAATTAAAGACCTCAGCACAATAGAGCCACTGAAAAAGTTAGAAAACCTCAAGAGCTTAGACCTTTTCAATTGTGAGGTAACCAACCTGAACGACTACCGAGAAAACGTGTTCAAGCTCCTCCCGCAGCTCACGTATCTCGATGGCTACGACCGGGACGACAAGGAGGCCCCTGACTCGGATGCCGAGGGCTACGTGGAGGGCCTGGATGACGATGAGGAGGATGAGGATGAGGAAGAGTATGACGAAGATGCTCAGGTAGTGGAAGATGAGGAGGATGAAGAGGAGGATGTGAGTGGAGAAGAGGAGGAGGATGAAGAGGGTTATAACGACGGGGAAGTGGACGATGAGGAAGATGAAGAAGATGGTGGTGAAGAAGAAAGGGGTCAGAAGCGAAAACGAGAACCAGAAGATGAGGGAGAAGACGATGACTAAGTGGAATAACCTATTTTGAAAAATTCCTATTGTGATTTGACTGTTTTTACCCATACCCCCCCTGAAATCCTGCCCCCCGAAACTTATTTTTTTATGATTGTAACGTTGCTGTGGGAACGAGAGGGGAAAAGTGTCCTGGGGCTTGTGGGGGGAGGGAGGGCGGGAGAGAGCGGAATAAAGTACTATTTTTACTGCCAAAAAAAAAAAAAAGATCTAAGAATTGAATTAATAATGCCTGTGAAAGTATTTAAAACAATGCTTAGAAATACGAACAGCACTATACCTAAGTTTTAGCTATTAATATATAGACAGGAAAGAGGGAAAGAGAAACAAATCACAAGTGTGATAAATGGAAAGGAGGAGGTACTTTACATAGAGTAAGGAGACTAGTTTTCATGAAGGAAAGGACTGGAAGAAGTCATGCAAAGTCAGGCCAGCTAATGGCCTTTACAGCCTAGTAAGAATAACTAGAGAAACTAAGCACAAAGTATTATGAGGGTCATGTTAAGTATAATCTACTAGATTAGAATAATGCATCTCAAATTTTCCCCCTAAATATCCTTAAATGCAGGACAGTGAAAATACTGATCTCTAGATACCTGGTAAGAAAATAAGCTAAGAAGTATGTTTCTGGTTATTCTTAAAAACTTAGATTTTAGGGGCGCCTGGGTGGCTTAGTCGTTAAGCGTCTGCCTTCGGCTCAGGTCATGATCCC